CAAAGTGTCTGTAAATTTTCATTAAAATAATAAAAATATATATAAAGAAAAAAGAATTAGGGGAGAAGACCTAGGATGTTATAAATGTCTAAGAAACATAAAACTTAGTAGATTCTAAGGTTATTTCAAAAGACAATTCAGATGAAACAGACTAAGAAAGGCATTAAAACCTTCATGAGTCCCCAAAACTGGCCTGGTCAGACCCTCTTCCCAACGAGGCCCCTTGGGCCTTCAGTCTCCTCACCTGGTTGGGGCAGCAGCTGTAACACCAATAAATGCAGCTCCCACCACCACAGTTAGCCCCGGAGCACTGGGGCAAAGGCAGCTCCCCTCACCACAGCTACCCCTGGAGCACTGGGGCAAGCCACATCTAGAGTTAATGATACACCTCTGCCACCAAAGCAGCTACCTGTCCCCACCTACACCTGCAGCTCCTCACAGCCACAAGAGGTGTTGCTGGTGAAGGAACAAAAGCACCACTGCCCTCCTGAATGCCCATTCCACAGGACCCCAGGCCCATCTCATCAATACTCTGCAGAGAAAAAGACTTCCGAGGGGCCTCTCCAAAGAAAATGTCCCCTCCCACTAGCCCTCCAGGTCTCCGCCATCAGATTGTTATGTGCCATCAAGTCGGAAGTGGTTCATAGCTGACCCTCCAGGGGGTTTTCAGAGGCTGCAAATCACACAGGAGACTACCCATCATTCTCCCCCAGAACAAGCGGAGGATATGAACGTCCTGCCTTTGGGTTGGCTGCACAATTCCCTACCCACTAGGCCACAGAGTTCCCTTCACTAAATTCACAGCCTTCATTCTGCACTTTAAGGTTATGCTGTACTTTAAAAACAACAGAATATGATTAACTGGGACAGTGTAACAAAAGCCATACATGACTTTGGATTTTTAAAAAATGTTTCTATATTCAATTGCAAATACTTCAGAGATTCTCTCTATGAAAAGAAAAAAGCGGATGAGTTTGTTTTTTTTTAAGTAGAAGCAACCTGCTCATTTCATAAAATAATTGCAAGACTTCACCTTTGGGATGGTCTTTGTACAGTTCAAGCAAAATCAAATTTGTTTCTGACAAGCCCACCTCTTTGTTGTATTATATTGCTCGTATATGATTAGAAACACAGATGCCAAAACAGACCCCCAAAACAGCCAGAAGGTAGCTTCCTTCTATCCCCAGGGCTTTTGGGTCTATATCCACACTGTCCAAGTGCAGGTGGGATGCTGAAACCAGCATAAAAATCAATGTTTATGTGAGCTCTGGTGGCCTAGAGGCAAGAAGCTGCACTGCAATCTCTGAGGTGCACAGTTCGAATCCACCAGATGCTCTGCTGAAGAAAGAGGGACAATCTCCTCCTATACCAGTCAGATCTGATTTGCCGGTACACACACAAAAATAATAGTAATTTTAAAAAATCAATATTTAAATCTTTCCTTACATTTCAGAAGTAAGAAATAAACCACAGACTGGTTAAAGAACTAAAAATACTCCTGGAATTTCTATAAATACAGGAATGAGGTAGGATTTCAATTTTAGATGATCTCATTCCTCAGTCAACTTTCAAAAACGCAAGTCACTGTGCAGTGAAGACTTAGATGCCTGGATGTTCAAGTTACTGGAGGGAGGGAGAGCTCCCAGAAAGAGGTCCTTGAGACAACGTATGCTAGAGGGGACACCAGAGAGGGGCTCTCTCCTAGGAATCCTAGAATGGGGGACAAGGGGGAGGTGAATGACTAACACTCCAGACACAAAGAATAAAACTGACAAATTTTTTCTCATAAAAATAAACTATGAACAAGCTGGAAGGCACTGATTTCAATAGACAACTTGTGCAGGAAGTACCAAGAATTAACCAACATAACATTAGTCAAAATTTTTAACTTAAAAAAAAAGATTAACATTTTTGTTGTTGTTGTTACATGCCATCGAGTCAAGTTCATTCAAGTACAACTCTTTTTTTTAAATTTATTTTATTTTTATTATTTGTGTGTGTGTGTGTGCGTATACTGTCAAATCAGATTTGACTGGTACAGGAGGAGATTGTTCCTCCTTCTCCAGCAAAGCATCTGGTGGATTTTCAAGTACAACTCTATGAACAACAGATCTGAACCCTGTCCTTTCCTGCACCATCCGCATACTTTCCAACTCCCTAGACCCCACTGCATCAGTCATGGTGTCAATCCATCTGGTTCAAGGTCTACCTAGCTGGTTGAGAGTCTTCCTTTCCTTCGCCAGCCCTCCACCTTTCCGAGCATGATGTCCCTCTCCAAGGTAGAGTCTCTCCTAGCAATATGCCCAAAGTGTGTAAGATGAAGCTTTATCAACTTTGCCTCCACTCTGGCTGCACTTTCTCCAAATACACATTTTAGTATTATTTTATTATTCGTGTGTGTGTGTGTGTGTGTGTGTATACCGTCAAATCAGATCTGCCTGGTACAGGAGGAGCTTGCCCCACCCTCTCCAGCAGAGCATCTGGTGGATTTGAACCACACGCCTCTGGGATTGCAGTGCAGCTTCTTGCCGCTAGGCCACCAGAGCTCCCACAAATGCACGTTTTAGTAAAGCAAAACAGTAAATAAATATTGAGAAAAAAAGGCCAGAAAGGCATAAAGCAGGATGCTGACCATGGGTTATCCTTGGGTGGAAGGATTCAGGTTGATTTAAATTCCACTTATATCCATACTTAACATCTACAGATTACATATCTGGGAGTGGGGGGCAATAAATGCTTGTTACATGCTCTTCCAAAAAACACTGTGGAAACATGTAGGAAAACATCATCTTAAACAGTATTAATCCTGGAAACATCAAACAGCTTAGTTGCCCTGAACATAAGGATCTGGGAAAAAATATTCCCTTTCCAGTAGCAAAGCTACAGTGAAACATTTTCTAACTGAGAATATCAACTAAAAGACAAAAACTGTGAGAAAGACATAAAAGGTTGTTAAGTGCAGATGGTACACTGGTTCTGTTACAGGTTCTTTTATGGACAAAAGAAGCTTGCAGTATTTTGAGAGATTGTTACTAGCTTGCTGGCAGATACTTCCAGGCCCTCTCTCCTTACAGCATTAACATTTCCAAGGACACCACCAGCCAGGGCCCTCAGATGCGACATGCCACACCCATAGACCTCATCTAACAGGCTCATCACTTTAAAGTGGTCCCAAGAAAACCAACGGTGACCTCTTCTGGAGACAAGCTTTAGTCTGGGGAGGGGGAATGGCTGGGAGCTGCTGGGCCCTGATGACACCACTGCAACACAGCTGCAAACCCTCCCGCCCAGCAAACCCTCCTGTCCAGCAAACCCTCCCGCCCAGCAAACCCTCCTGCCCAGCAAACCCTCCAGCCCAGCAAACCCTCCAGCCCAGCAAACCCTCCTGTCCAGCAAACCCTCCCGCCCAGCAAACCCTCCTGTCCAGCAAACCCTCCCGCCCAGCAAACCCTCCTGCCCAGCAAACCCTCCTGCCCAGTTCCCAGCCGGGAGCTTCATCCAAGGTGTTTGGCTAGGGTTTTTGACATCTATAAAATCAGACCAGGATAGGAAAGGTTCTTGTAGAATCTCCAAATATACAGAGGCCCCTTAGATATACGATGCAGCGGTAGCTGAGATGCCGAGCCTCGGGCAGGAGCCTGGGAGCAGCCTCTGGGCCTGTTTCCCAGCTTACGAAGCACCACCAAGGATGCAGTGAGGACCAAGGCGGAGGCCTTGAGCGAGGGCACCTCCCTGGCAAGGTGATGCTCTGCCGGCCGCTGTCACTGTCACTCGGGGCCTGGGGGCTGTGGACGCAGGGCTGAGTGCCAGCCCCCAAGGCGGCCCCCTGTGCCCATCCAGGGGCGAGAACCCAGCAGCCATCCCCCGGGACGGAGGCCTGGACGCGAATCGAAACCGCAAAGCCCATGTGACAGGCGGCAGGGATGCGGCCTCCGCCCGACCGCGGCCCCGGCTGTCTCCACCCAGCTCGGCCATCTTGAGAGGCCAGCAGACAAAGCCGGCCCATTGTTCTGGGTGCCGCCGGGCAGGGGCGCCGGGCCCCTCCTCGCGGAGCTGGGGGACACCGCGCGGCCCGGGCGGGGGTGTGGAGAGGGGGGCCCCATGGGGCGCCGGCGGCCAAGGGGGACATGCGGTGTCTGCGGCTTCAGGGGCCACTTCCTGGGGTGTCTGCGGCCACGGGGCTGCCCTGCTGGCCCTGTCCCCATGGACAGATCCTTCCTGGGGTGTCTGCGGCCATGGGGGTGCCCTGCTGGATCTGCACCCTGGACAGACCTTTCCTGGGGTGTCTGCGGTCATGGGGTGCCCTGCTGGATCTGCACCCTGGACAGACCTT